CACACACACACACACACACACACACACACACACACACACACACACACCAATTAGTTAGGAGCCTCTCTTCTTCAAGGGTATTACTTTGAAGTCAACAAGACTTAGGCTTGAGCATAGGCTCTGCCACTTATTAGCTGTGGTATCATGGACAAATAACACATTTTTTGTTCATCAAGTTTCTTATGTGTAAAATGGAAGATAGTACCATCTATTGTGTTGATCTGTTTTGAGAATTACATCTAAAGCCCATAACACACTGATAGGCACACAATATTTATTCAATAAGGTGTACTGTTATTTAACTCTGTGCTCCATTTTCTCATCCTGTAGATATTTTTTCCTCTAACTCTGAAATTACTGTGGAAGAAAATATCCTACAATTCAGAAATGGTGCTGATATAAAGTATTAAGCCTAAGTTTGCAAATATTAAGGGAGGTTTCATGGTAAATGTAACTGTATTTTAGTTATATAGGGATTAAGTTGATCAGCATGATGCTTTCATATTAGAAATTATTTTAAATTTCAGTCTGTGGCTATTTGAATGATGAATACAAATAAATTTTGAGTCTAGTCTCAGTTATATCACTAACTGTTATGATTTTACTGGACAAATATCAAGTTACAGCCACCATAGCTCACCTCCTCATTTTTAAGATGGGGACACTATCATCTACATTTGTAATTATAATGTAACTAAAATTACTTGGACATTATCATTCCAAGGGGAGACCCTTAGCTATGAAAAAAAAAAGCTAACAATTTTAAAATTACTTCATTTTCAAATGGATTCTTTTTGCAATTTTTCCTTACCTCTTGAAAACTGAGTAGCACGTGTTCCTCATTTCCCACTCCACCCCCAACCATCAATACCTACAATACTTACCTGAACAATGTTTTGAAAATTATAAATGACTTGGCCTGGCACAATGGCTCATGCCTGTAATCCCAGCACTTTGGGAGGCCAAGGCAGGCAGATCATGAGGTCAGGAGTTCGAGACCAGCCTGACCAACATGTTGAAACCCTGTCTCTACTAAAAATACAAAAATTAGCTGGGCGTGGTGGTGCTCACCTGTAGTCTCAACTACTCATGAGGCTGATGCGGGAGAATCGCTTGAACCTGGGAGGCGGAGGCTGCAGTGAGCTGAGATTGTGCCACTGCACTCCAGCCTGGGTGCAGAGCCAGACTCCGTCTCAGAAAAACAAATAAATAAAAAATAAAATTCAGTGACTGTCTTAAAGTGTTTTTATAAACTTTCACACACATTTCCCTCTGGCTATCATACCCTTAACATCTGTCATCTTCTCTTCATTACCAGCTTTCTGGAACACTCCTATTAACAGCTTCTCTACTGCCTACTGCCTCCCAGGTCTTATTGACTTTTTTTTTTTTTTTTTTTGAGACGGAGTTTTTCGCTCTTGTTACCCAGGCTGGAGTGCAATGGCGCGATCTCGGCTCACTGCAACCTCTGCTTCCCGGGTTCAGGCAATTCTCCTGCCTCAACCTCCTGAGTAGCTGGGATTACAGGCACGCACCACCATGCCCAGCTAGTTTTGTATTTTTAGTAGAGACGGGGTTTCACCATGTTGACCAGGATGGTCTCGATCTCTTGACCTCGTGATCCACCTGCCTCGGCCTCCCAAAGTGCTGGGATTACAGGCTTGAGCCACCGCGCCCGGCAGGACTTTTTTTTTTTTTTTTTTTTTTTTGAGATGGAGTCTCACTGGCTCTGTCGCCCAGGCTGGAGTGCAGTGGTGCTATCTTGGCTCACTGCAACCTCTTCCTCCTGGATTGAAATGATTCTCCTGTCTCAACCTCCCAAGTAGCTGGGACTATAGGCGTGCACCACAACACCAGCTAATTTATATATTTTTAGTAGAGGCAGGATTTCACCATGTTGGCCAGGCTGGTCTTGAACTCCTTGTCACAGGCTATCCACCCACCTGGGCATCCCAAAGTGCTGGGATTACAGGCACCCAACCAGGTCCCAAAGACTTTCTAATGTCAATTCTAAAGAATTCTTTTTCTTTTTGAACTTGTGTTCTCTTGGTAGGATATGTTCTCTCCTCTAGTTTTTTCCCTGTTTGTCAGGTGCTTATGGGTGCTCCTGAAGACAAAGCAACATTTTGGAGGGGGTGGGGTCTTATTTGAAGTATATGAGGAAGGTGCTTCCATGCAATGAGTGAGGGAGTTGGCAATTTTTAATAACCCTCAATTGTTCTTTATTTATCCAGTAGCACCTGAGGACCTGGTTAAAGACAAAGGCTTTGAGGTAAGGGGTGGGGCACAAGTGGCAAGAAAGCAGGGAGCAAACTGCTGCTGTCTCCCATCCCGTGTTGTTAGGTAAGGGGACATCATATTATTATAGTTAGAGCTATACCTATCTATGTGTTCTTGATGAAGGCATTGTTTGCAAGTTGCTCTTTTTCAACAGCAACATCAGTACCAGGTGATTACTGAACTCTTTACAGTTTGTCTTGCCCTTACTTGGAGAGGAGCCAAATGAATTGTTTCTGCTGTGCATGTGGCCAGCAATCACGGGCGTGTGAATACATGCCTTTGGTGTGTTTGTGTTCAATTCCCTTCATTTCTTTTTGTGGCTTGGACCCTG